AGTTAGTTTTTCATTTTCCTGAAAGAAGGTCTCCTGAAGAAGAGACCTCCAGAAGAGATCTGTAGTTTTTTTCTAGATAAAATACAGAGTTCTTTGGACAACTTTTCTGGCTCGAGAATAGTCCAAACATCAGGAGTGTTTCATTAAACTTTCAAGGAAATCGATTAGCCATCTTTGTCTGTAAGACCTCGATACCTTTTCTATTAAAAAAAAAAAGAAAGAACAGAAAAACAGAATATTCTTTCGAGGAGAAACTTCTTTTTTCACTGTGCTGTTAAAAGTTGTGTAAAATGCCTAATCGATTGTGCAATGTAAAACGGTTTAATCATCAAGGAGATACCATATCAAAACTTATCTCTACTCGCATGATTTTCTAAAAGCATGAAATGGAAATCAGCTTTTTAACTTGAACTTTTTAGTTCTGCGAAACTGTTTAGCTAGAGTAAGAAGTATATTCTACAGTTTCTTAATTTTAAATTGCCATTTTGAATTGGAATATTTTTAAAAGATACTTATACTTCATCTAATATAGCTTCTTTGCCCTCGTTTGACATTATGCAGTGTGTTCATAGTGTCATTACTTGCTAGCTTAATAAAACTTAAATAAGCTATAATCCTCTGGTTAATTTCTTAAAATAATTTCCGGTGGTGGAAATTTTGTTTACATCCATGTTCTTTAGATGTTTGTTCACTATATTGAATCATCAAACAATAAAAGCATGAAATATAACTCTGCACAAACAAACAATTTCAGTGATAGATCTCTATGAAAGCAGAAACGTTTTTCATCAGAAATAAGTAGTAAATCTTACTGAAACTTGAAAGACAATAATATACAAGATATCTTTCCAAATGAAGCTAAAAACACATGACAGAACTTCTATATAAAACAAAGAAGGGCAAATAGATAAGTAATTTTAGTTTGGTAGAAAAAAGAAGGAAAAGAAAGAAAGAATCAGATTTTCCATCCGTTTGATTTTTAACTCGGACACTGACACTGATTTTACTATAGAGAGAATATTTACAAATAAGCTTAACCTAGAGAGAACTTGCCAAAGTCCTTGGTTCCTCTACTACCTAATTTGGAGTACATCCAAATCTAATAGAAACTCAACCAGTCACGACTCCATTCATATTCAGCAGCAAGGGCTGCCAACCGCCAAGAAATTAATTACTATTTGGCTAGGGACCAGTATTCAACATCATTTGTAATTCTGTCGTTACTCATTCATATATACTATTCATTTAAAGGCAGCAACATCTAACTATAAAATTGCGTCAGAAGCTAATGTTTCAAGTATGCACTATTGAGAAGGCCAATCACAAAATTTAAATAAATTAACAAACTTGGCAAACCCAAGTTTGCACAATATCGAGTCAAGGAAAGCAATTATGACGCTTGCCATTGAAAAATATGATATTCAGTTGAAACGCCAGGACATAAAGTATGCGTGCACAATGGCAATAATTCCGCGGTGAAGACAATAGATAGAGATTAGGTTACGTCTAATCCATCTAAAAAGCATAATGCACGCTCAAACATAATAGCCTGGACGACAGTAACATTATATATCACGTAAAATGCGTGTCTTCATACGTTTATGTAATTAAAATAATTTTTTTTTTTTTTAGATCGTTAAAAAATGGTAAATCGAGATGTAGTTTGAAATATTAAAACGATCCGAGTTTAGCTTGTAATTCATTTGAATTTATAAGTTGAATGAAAATCATACGCAAACAATAATAAATATTATTATTAATAAAAAATTTTTTAATAAAAATTATTATTGATAAAAATTATTAATTAATTTTTCGCAATCGAACGAGGTACCATAACGTCGTGTAGCAAATTATTTAATGGCCAGTGTTAGCAACCTGTTGTGTTCTGATTATAATGTGCGTAGCAACAAGCATCGAACGGAAGAGTCACGATTTACTGTACTGCTTCTTTGCAGATATTTTCATGTGTTTCTTTATAGTATAAAGCTGCACTATTCTTTTGTCTTTTTTTTTTTT